GGGTCGGGGGGATCTGTCTGGAGGTGATCGGGGGATCTGTCTGGGGGTGATCGGGGGATCTGTCTGGGGTTGATCAGGGGATCTGTCTGGGGGGGGGGGGGAGGGATCTGACTGGGGTTGATCGGGGGATCTGTCTGGGAGTGATCGGGGGATATGACTGACACTCAGCACTCACGGAAAAGGCAAGACGCACATACTGTCAAAATGCTAATGGCACCATTGGAACTCGGCACTGGCTGCTGAAGATAGGGATTGACCATTTATAAGAATGTCCTAAATGTGGTTATGTCAGTTACTGACTCACCTTATTTTTATCTATCAGTCTCTCTGTATGTCCACATGTCTATCTGTATTTCTATCTGCTACCAGTCTGTCTGTATTTTCATTTTCTACCAGTATGTCTGTATGTCTGCCTGCTATCAGTTTGTCTTATTTCTGTTTGCTACCAGTCTTTCTGTATTTCCATCTGCTACCAGTCTGTCTGTATTTCCATCTGCTACCAGTCTGTCTGTATGTAAGCCTACTACTAGTCTGTCTGTATGTAAGCCTACTACCAGTCTGTCTGTACGTAGGCCTACTACCAGTCTGTCTGTAAGCCTACTACCAGTCTGTAAGCCTACTACCAGTCTGTATGTAAGCCTACTACCAGTCTGTAAGCCTACTACCAGTCTGTATGTAAGCCTGCTACCAGTCTGTATGTAAGCCTACTACCAGTCTGTCTGTAAGCCTTCTACCAGTCTGTATGTAAGCCTACTACCAATCCATATGTAAGCCTGCTACCAGTCTGTATGTAAGCCTACTACCAGTCTGTGTGTAAGCCTACTATCAGCCTGTATGTAAGCATATTACCAGTCTGTATGTAAGCCTGCTTCCAGTCTGTATGTAAGCATATTACCAGTCTGTATGTAAGCCTGCTTCCAGTCTATTAGTATGCCCGCCTGCTACCAGTATATCAGTATGTCCGCCTGCTACCAGTCTGTCTGTATTTCCATCTGCTACCAGTCTGTCTGTATGTAAGCCTACTACCAGTCTGTCTGTATGTAAGCCTACTACCAGTCTGTCTGTACGTAGGCCTACTACCAGTCTGTCTGTAAGCCTACTACCAGTCTGTAAGCCTACTACCAGTCTGTATGTAAGCCTACTACCAGTCTGTAAGCCTACTACCAGTCTGTCTGTAAGCCTACTACCAGTCTGTATGTAAGCCTACTACCAGTCTGTCTGTAAGCCTTCTACCAGTCTGTATGTAAGCCTACTACCAGTCCGTATGTAAGCCTGCTACCAGTCTGTATGTAAGTCTACTACCAGTCTGTGTGTAAGCCTACTATCAGCCTGTATGTAAGCATATTACCAGTCTGTATGTAAGCCTGCTTCCAGTCTGTATGTAAGCATATTACCAGTCTGTATGTAAGCCTGCTTCCAGTCTATTAGTATGCCCGCCTGCTACCAGTATATCAGTATGTCCGCCTGCTACCAGTCTGTCTGTATGTCCGCCTGCTACCAGTCTGTCTGTATGTCCGCCTGCTACCAGTCTGTCTGTATGCCCGCCTGCTACCAGTATATCAGTATGTCCGCCTACTACCAGTCTGTCTGTATGTCCGCATACTACCAGTCTGTCTGTATGTCCCCATACTACCAGTCTGTCTGTATGTCCGCCTACTACCAGTCTGTCTGTATGTCCGCATACTACCAGTCTGTCTGTATGTCCGCATACTACCAGTCTGTCTGTATGTCCGCATGCTACCAGTCTGTCTGTATGTCCGCCTGCCTATCTGTATGTCCGCATGCTACCAGTCTGTCTGTATGTCCGCCTGCCTATCTGTATTTTTATCTGCTACCAGTATGTTACTTGTTGTCTGTGTTCACATCCTAGTACATGGGTGCTCCATCCACCCTTGCAGCAGCCATCGCAGTGTCCCCGTGCTAACATGCCCAGTTGTAATTGACCACCGTGTCTTGTATCCTTAATCTACAGCTGGTGTTTGCATGCTTGTCCTCGTTTAATCCCTGTTTCTAAAAGGTTGTTCCTCGTAGCTGACCCCTTTCCTTTGCCAGGTTCAAGGTGTAACATTGCCTAGTCAGACCAGAAACAGACAATCAATGCAGGGTTTGTCTGCAACCTCGTGGAGAAGACATGCAACTCATTGTTTGAAAACAGACAATCAATGCAGGGTTTGTCTGCAACCTCCTGGAGAGGACATGCAACTCATTGTTTGAAAACAGACAATCAATGCAGGGTTTGTCTGCAACCTCCCGGAGAGGACATGCAACTCATTGTTTGAAAACAGACAATCAATGCAGGGTTTGTCTGCAACCTCCTGGAGAGGACATGCAACTCATTGTTTGAAAACAGACAATCAATGCAAGGTTTGTCTGTAAACTCCTGGAGAGGACATGCAACTCATTGTTTGAAAACGAAGGAGAAAAAGAAGAAGACAATCAATGCAGGGTTTGTCTGCAACCTCCTGGAGAGGACATGCAACTCATTGTTTGAAAACGAAGGAGAAAAAGAAGAAGACAATCAATGCAGGGTTTGTCTGCAACCTCCTGGAGAGTACATGCAACTCATTGTTTGAAAACAGACAATCAATGCAGGGTTTGTCTGCAACCTCCTGGAGAGGACATGCAACTCATTGTTTGAAAACAGACAATCAATGCAGGGTTTGTCTGCAACCTCCTGGAGAGGACATGCAACTCATTGTTTGAAAACAGACAATCAATGCAGGGTTTGTCTGTAACCTCCCGGAGAGGACATGCAACTCATTGTTTGAAAACAGAAAATCAATGCAGGGTTTGTCTGTAACCTCCTGGAGAGGGCATGCAACTCATTGTTTGAAAACAATCAATGCAGGGTTTGTCTGCAACCTCCTGGAGAGGACATGCAACTCATTGTTTGAAAACAGACAATCAATGCAGGGTTTGTCTGCAACCTCCTGGAGAGGACATGCAACTCATTGTTTGAAAACAGACAATCAATGCAGGGTTTGTCTGTAAACTCCTGGAGAGGACATGCAACTCATTGTTTGAAAACGAAGGAGAAAAAGAAGAAGACAATCAATGCAGGGTTTGTCTGCAACCTCCTGGAGAGGACATGCAACTCATTGTTTGAAAACGAAGGAGAAAAAGAAGAAGACAATCAATGCAGGGTTTGTCTGCAACCTCCTGGAGAGGACATGCAACTCATTGTTTGAAAACAGACAATCAATGCAGGGTTTGTCTGCAACCTCCTGGAGAGGACATGCAACTCATTGTTTGAAAACAGACAATCAATGCAGGGTTTGTCTGCAACCTCCTGGAGAGGACATGCAACTCATTGTTTGAAAACAGACAATCAATGCAGGGTTTGTCTGTAACCTCCCGGAGAGGACATGCAACTCATTGTTTGAAAACAGAAAATCAATGCAGGGTTTGTCTGTAACCTCTTGGAGAGGGCATGCAACTCATTGTTTGAAAACAATCAATGCAGGGTTTGTCTGCAACCTCCTGGAGAGGACATGCAACTCATTGTTTGAAAACAGACAATCAATGCAGGGTTTGTCTGTAACCTCCCGGAGAGGACATGCAACTCATTGTTTGAAAACAGACAATCAATGCAGGGTTTGTCTGCAACCTCCTGGAGAGGACATGCAACTCATTGTTTGAAAACAGAAAATCAATGCAGGGTTTGTTTGTAACCTCCTGGAGAGGGCATGCAACTCATTGTTTGAAAACAATCAATGCAGGGTTTGTCTGCAACCTCCTGGAGAGGACATGCAACTCATTGTTTGAAAACAGACAATCAATGCAGGGTTTATCTGTAAACTCCTGGAGAGGACATGCAACTCATTGTTTGAAAACGAAGGAGAAGAAGAAGAAGACAATCAATGCAGGGTTTGTCTGCAACCTACTGGAGAGGGCATGCAACTCATTGTTTGAAAATTCCTCATCAGTGTTCTACGTTGACTTCATGGTGCTGTTATTAAAAAAAAACATTTAGCACTTTCAGATTAACAGTTTTTAATCTACACTTTCTAGGTAATATTTTTTTTTTTTTTTTTTTTTGCACTCAAAGTTTCAAGTTTTCTAGAGTTAAAATCATCATCATCTGCTTCTGCTTCTTCTCCTTCGTTTTCATCATCTTTGACTTCTGATTTGGCCTCGAAGTAGCAGTTGTCATTGTGTCTTGTGACGGACAGCTGGGCTATATAACCTGTGTCTTTCGGTCCAGTACATTTGATTTCAGCAAATCCTTAATTTGTCTCCTTTTGTCTTTTTCGATCCCATAAAGTTTTGTACAAAAATTACTATTTTGTCAATAAATATTACCACGGAATGCTAACTACTTGGTGTGCTGTAGAAATGTGAAGTGAATTAAAGATACCCCTGTGGTTGCCAGATTTGTTTAGTAAACACTGACCAAAACTTGAAACATAGGAAGACACTTGATGTGATGTTCATGACATGTGGGGAATAGTCATTGACACACCGTGTGTTGTTCGGGTCTGAAAGAATTATTAGTCTTTGTTAATTGCGCGGGGTCTCCTCTTTTACCTGACACACAAAAATGGAACCGGAAACCCACACGCAGATTGAAAATATTAAAACTGTCAGACAGAACAAGTTACTACAACAACAATGGTACAGTGGTTGAGCTCGCAAAAGTGTGTGCACAAGAAATTGAGAAATATATACCATACGCAGAGTAATCAGTAAACATATAATGGCTATTGTACGAGGCAGCGACGTTGTTTTAGTTATCATTAACCAAGATCCCCCTAAATGACATTTCCGGTTCAGATAAAACCTCCACAAGTCCAACAAACCGGCACTAGATTTTACCTGGCCAAAAAGGACTGTTCTAGAAGACCATCCATCACACTGTGCCGCCTGGCAGCACAAAGAAAACATTGTCGGATAGATAGAAAGAAAGACAGACATTTAAAAAATAAAGCCTACTGTAATTAGCCGGGTACTCGGACAGATTAAGAACAAGAAAATTAGATGTGTTTTACAGTACTCATTCGTCATTGGCCATGACTGTTGATCCTGAACAAACTCCTGCATGTTTCTCTAAAGCGACTACTCATCGAATAATAAATGAAAATATTCACCGACGAGTTGACGGATTCAAGGAAAAAACCCAGACCTCCAATAATAATCAACGTTTTGATGTGTTTGCCGCTAAGCGACAGGTCTGGATCCAGGGACATGGCGATGAAGATAAAACTGAACGGCAGAAAGCAAGCAATGAACAAGGAAGAAATCATAACCACCATTTTAGCTACTCGCTGGTTGCGTGTCGTCACGTTATCAGTTTGGGAATCTGCAATGGACATTTGGCGCCATTTTACTGTTCTGTGTAGTTTGATTACTAATGTTATCGTGCAAACGGTGATGATTACAAATGCAGTCAGCGGAATGAAGACATTGTTGATGACATACGAAATCTTCTCAACTTGTTCTCTGTTTGTCGTAAAGACAAGACCCAAAAGTGTTTTGTTTTTGCGTGGGTCAAATTTCCAGTCGATTTGGTTGACGACGTACAGCGGCGAGACACTGGAGATGAGGATGACGAAGACGGCGACGATAACGAAGGTCACTCGTTTTGTGGTGATGGTATTTTTCACCTGTAGAAAATAAATACATCATGTGAAACAAGACTTCGACTGCTTCAGTGCCCTTAGATACGGCTGAGAAACGTGGACCTTAATATCCAAATTTGGAAGGAATATTTTTTAGTTTCAAGTATACAATTAGTAGATATAAAATTTCATTGCAGGAAGTAAAGCGTCAGGCTAATATTGATTGCACTACTAGGGACAAAGCAAGAGATGTCCCGAAAGAGTCCCTACTCCTGGCGCCGTCCCACCCGCCAACCAGACGTTCCACGCTTGCGAATGCATAACCCGCAGCCATTCAGTCCGTTGGCACGCAGGTTCACCTTAGGCATAGTTTTAAATTTTTTTTTTTCTGGGCAGGTCTCCTCTAGAAAGGTGTGTTTTTTGCCTTTTCGGTGACGCACCACGGTCTTGACTGCAGAATGGTATTTCTAATCGAGGGAGTTACAACCTGAGTGCATCCCTTTCACCATATCAGCGCGAGTACATAAAGCTACATCCAGCTCTCACGCGGAAACAGCTGGTGTGCTCCACTGCCAGGGAGATACGACATCTACAGCTTTGGATCTCCGTGACCTTTCAGTGTATTCCGGTGTATGTGGTGCGTTCATGCCATTGCTAGGACATGACGTATGCGTCGGTCGCAAACACACCAAACATGGTAAAAGTGACATAGAGAGACATGACCATCATGTTCCACTCCCATAGCGAGTAAGACCATCCAGATAAGCCCACATCAAGAAGCGTCCTCTATAAACTGCACATATTATGTAACTGTTGTATTGCATGGGTGCCCCGTTAGCGCAGTCGATAAGAGGCTCGCTTTCAAATCCAGGTGCGACTCGCTGCAGCCACGGTCGGTGTTCGAAACCGGGCGGTTCCCGGTGTTCACCCAACCTCTAGGAAATGGGTACCATAGTTGACACTCTGGGGTAAATGGAGGAACGTCGCTATAGCTATAGAGTTACGTGCGGACGGCGACACAGGCGGACAGTTTCTTAACAGCGGTCCGTACTGGTGGCAGAGCACTTATGGTTTATAACTGTGCCCAATGACGCTGGTTCACATCTCCCGACTTTACCTTGACCTTTACCTTTGTATTGCACGCATTCGATGTTCGTCTCTGTCGCTGGGAACCTCAGATATCTGCTGGGTTTAAATTACATTCTGGATTTTGCTCCCTTCATGCAACACTACTATTCACCAAATCCAGACTCACAGTTCCACCCCAATTCTTGTATCACTTTTGCCCTGTACTTTTTAACTCCCCAGCATCAAATAGGAATGGCTAAAACTAACGTCAGTGGGATGTGAACATTAATGACAGTCAGAGTTTACAGCCGGTGAACGCTAAGAAGAAAAAGAAGACGAAGAAGAAGGAGAAGAAGAAGAAGCAGAAGAAGAAGAACCAATCAACATAGTTATACTGGGGCACCAGGTGGTTTCATTGGGAGTCCAGTATGGCTGGATGTCAGAGCCCTGTGAGCACAGTCATGTGGCGGAGTAGACCACACGAAGGGTATATCGTGTTCAGGGTACACCCCAGAGTTGACACAATAGGTATACCTTGTTCAGGGTACACCCCAGAGTTGACACAATGGGTATACCGTGTTCAGGGTACACCCCAGAGTTGACACAAAGTGTATACCGTGTTCAGGGTACACCCCAGAGTTGACACAAGGGGTATACCGTGTTCAGGGTACACCCCAGAGTTGACACAATGGGTATACCGTGTTCAGGGTACGCCCCAGAGTTGACACAATGGGTATACCTTGTTCAGGGTACACCCCAGAGTTGACACAATGGGTATACCGTGTTCAGGGTACACCCCAGAGTTAACACAAAGGGTATACCGTGTTCAGGGTACACCCCAGAGTTGACACAAAGTTCAGTGGCGTGACTGGCCAAGAATGTGCTGTTTGCGACGGCGAAGCTAGCGCTCAGTAGAGACCACATGAAGACTACAAGTAAGAGTGAACTCTTTTCTGAAAAAGTTCCCAACATGATTGTCCTATGACTTACTGAGCCGGTTAACAACGGATCAAAAGGCACGAGATGAGAGAACACAGGGATTATTGAGGTGCAGTGTTCGGACGTAGCTGACGTGTTAGCCAGACAGAGATAGAACATTAGAGTTAGGATATTCCTTTAGTGACTGCATATATTATTTACAGTGTTATGCTATAAAAGGATAGTCTTTTTGTGCCGTGTATTTAAATGTTATAATGTATTGAGTTGTTTCATAATAAGTCAGTAGTGTCCATTTATTTCTGATCAGTTAAATCAGTTAGATGTATGTGTTGTGAGCTAATGGCGAACCTTGTCACGCTGACCCTGCGCTCGACAGAAGCTCTGACATCTTGGTGAGCTCAGGTGACAAGGTACAAGAGCGTGCCCCGCAGAGGTGTGGTTTGCGCACCTGGGATTAACTGTGGTAATAGACTGGAGAGCGTAGAGATTGTAAAGCTCGCTCGGCCAGGGTTCCAGGTAACAGGTGGCTATACAGCGGGAAGTCAACTGTCTGTTGTAATATCTGTACTTACAATAACAATTGTCATGTGTGTTCTGTATGCGTTCGGGTTCAGTGTGTGTCAAAGTTAGTTTGTCTGTCAGAGGCCCACTCACGAGCCACGGACTATCAAGGTCACCCAGAGGTCTGTGACATTGGATGAGTTGGCTGGCAGGAGCCTTGGAGCTGAGAGAGTTAACAGCCGCTCTGTGGAGACAGGCTGGGTGGGACAACAGGGATACTGGTCAGATGTAGCCAGTCTTGTGACAGCTCTGTGGAGACAGGCTGGGTGGGACAACAGGGATACTGGTCAGATGTAGACAGTCTTGTGACAGCTCTGTGGAGACAGGCTGGGTGGGACAACAGGGATACTGGTCAGATGTAGCCAGTCTTGTGACAGCTAACCAAACACAGAAAAGTGATCGCTTTAACGGTCGGGTTAAGTAACAGCCAGGTGCTCTAACTCGCCGGGTTTCCGCGATTTGTGCCTGTGTGATTCTCATAACTGAGGTGGTAAACTAACGTGCTGCAGTCCTAGACATGCGACACTGCTACCCGACCCAGCTGTATGGTTGGGCAGACAATTCTGCCGGCGCACCGGTTGAACAACAGTGGTCTAATGCGATCAAGAACCTAATGCCTTTAAATATCTTCTTAACTGCTTACCAAATATACTCTCTCTCTCTCTCTCTCTCTCTCTCTCTCTCTCTCTCTCTCTCTCTCTCTCTCTCTCTCTGTGTGTGTGTGTGGGTGTATGTCTCACTGTATGCTTGTCTGTCTCCCCTTTGGTCTCTCTCCTCTCTCCCCCTCTCAGTAGTCAGCTCTATTTTTCTTGCCATTGATGATATCCTCATCAATTCACAATCTCCTTCGCCATCATCTGTCCTGACAAATTAGACAACCAGAAGATTTGTTGTGAGAACTCACCGTCAGGGGTGCAGTGATACACAATCTCCTTCGCCATTATCTGTCCCAACAAATTAGACAACCAGAAGATGTGTGTGAGAACTCACCGTCAGGGGTGCAGTGATACACAGGCACCTCTCCATGGTGATGAGAGCGGTGATCCAGCTGGTGATGCGGGTGAAGGTCGTGTGTGGCATGGCGCCCGTCAGATACTGCATCTCCGGCGGGTCAAAGGGCAGGTCTGCCGCCGTGAATGCCGGGGTGAAACAGAGATTAGTCCACATCAGCGTTGCTAGGCAGCCCATGTCTGCTACTGCCAAACCTGCACAACAAAATCGTGTTCAGTCACAGAGTTGAGTTGAGAATAGACATCACAGCACTCGGGACATAGTTATAAGCGCTCTGGTGGCCCTTTGCCTGGGTACATGGACCTTAGAACCATGTAATATCGCCTCAGGACTACGCCATAGATCTGCAATTTCATGAGTGCTCTTCAATGTGTATACAGGCAAGACTGCAGAACTTGAAGCACCTGGTGTTGGAAGGATATTGATATTTACAAATGACGTTCTTGCATATAGACAGGGGAGTAATAGGTAACAGATAGCCCAAGAGCTACAGGCAACTGTAGACAAAGTGACTGACTGGTGAGCAGAGATTGGTGATGTCATCAACTCAATAGGCGGCTGTCTGTGATGCTTTCTGGACTATAGAATGAGAAGTTCAACAAATGATCCATGAGAATGTCTGCCCAAGTGATGTGATTATCTATACAGATGGCTCTGTGCTTGGAGGCAGACGAAGTTCATAGAAAAAGCGAATGTGCAACAAAGCCTGGCATATGATATCACAATGTCTATTTTGAGAATATAGACGGAAGCAGCAACTGCTGCCTTCTGCTGGCTTGGGGATAAGCTGTTCATACATGTCGTAATTGTAACTGACTCACAGAGCCTGTAGAGAAAAGTGGAGACAGGCATACTACGTGCAGAGGGGAAAGCATCGCTTCAGAGGTCCCGAATAGTTACCGTCCTTTGGATATTTTCTCCAGGTGACACCGGTGTGTTGGGAAACGAATGGGCAGATAGATTGGCTGGTTCTGCTTCACTTGGTAGTGAATTTATGTATGACAAGCTAGATGTTGTGAGGGCAGTTTGGAAGGGAATGAACAGTGTGGAATCACCAATAAATCATTACTGTCTGACGCGGCGAGGAGTTGCCATGGGATCTGGCCGACGCTCAACACTCAATGAAAAGGCGAGACGGTTATACAATCAAATACGAACTGGTGCCATCGGAACTGGAAATCTTTGTTTGCTGCGGAAGATGAGGACCGAGCGTTTATGAGAGTGTCCTAAATGCTGTGATGTTGATGCTTAATTCAAATTTCAACAACCAGTGCAGAGTTGCAGCTCCGATGGTACCAATAGCCAGCACACTGTATGTCCGCAGCTCCGATGATACCAATAGCCAGCACTCTGTATGTCCGCAGCTCCGATGGTACCAATAGCCAGCACTCTGTATGTCCGCAGCTCCGATGGTACCAATTTCCAGCACAAGTATGTCGGCTCATGATCCCCAGCAATGTCCGCAGCTCATGATACCACCAGCACTCTGTAGTCCGCAGCTCCGATGGTTAGCCAGACTCTGTACTGCAGCTCCGATGGTACCAATAGCCAGCACTCTGTATGTCCGGCTCGCCTTTCGCACAAGTGTCGGCTAGATGCCCTCAAGCTTCAGTCACAGAATGTCAGAGCTGATGTTGGAGACTGAAGGGAAATAGTGGGGTCGCGGTGGGGGGAGGGGCTGTGTGTGTGTGTGTGTGTGTGTGTCGTGTGTATTTCCTGTGGAGAGATGTGTCATCAGAGACGTTGTCATTTGTGTGTGTGCACACAGACAGACATATAGATGGATAGACCCACACATAGAGAGGCAGCCAGGCAAGTAGACGGACAGACAGACAGACACAAACAGACAGAGAGCGTATGACGCAGTCGCTGTAGCTCAATGAGAGCGCCAGTCCCACAGCTCATGTTGCTTGGGAAATGAACAAGTTTAGATGAGCTGTGCTGTCACAACATCTATTTGTTTTACTTGTACACAAATGCTAATTCAATGTAACTGAAACAAAGCATACATTAGATCGTACCCAGTAAACTGATGTTGATGGGATCCTTGAATCCTTGCTTTGCGAAGCAAATAATGTTGACGATATTGCTACCAATCCCAAACAGCGCAACTATTTGGCATAATACGGTAAACAGAACCCATTGAAACACTATTATTCCAATGTCTATCGGTAGGGCGTTGTTCATTGGGTTATCACTAGTGCTGTTTTCTCCATCCATTGACGATATTAACTGAACATCTTGCTTGTCTAGTTCCATGTCTGATCATTCATATGTCCAGACCCGACTAAGATTACAGCAATAACTATTTTATAGATGGATGCCACTGGAATCTCCTCAGCCTCTAAAACGACTTTCAATTTTCTTTTAAACTTGCTTGTTTATTACGTCAATATCTGTGCCTTACGTTCTTCGTAATTCCGAAACACTCGGTTCCAACTGGCAACGCACTATTTGCGTTGATTTCGACAGTGGTATAGAGCGGCAATCGTTTAGTCGCAATGGCAAACTGAACCGAACATTGCCAAGTAAAAAATTTAATCGCCAAATAATGCAGGGTTTGGTTTCGCAGCGTCATGTAAAAGATACGAAACAAACTTGTAACTTATGTCACAGCAGGTATTTAATTAATGCCTGTAAATTATTTATCATGTCAGCGTTCAGTTTTGTGTTTAAAAGCGATTACAGTCGACGGCATTGTTTTCTCCAGTCAGATATTCACTTGTGTCCAAAATGGGGAACATCCGGGTGTATGTATTCATTCTTTGTTCTTTTTTTTTTTTTAATTATGGTACCTGCCTACCGATGCCACATGGAGGGGCAACTTCTTGTCCAGTATCTATCAGTTTCTCCGAAAATAAGACACACCTTTGAGTAAACCGGAGCACGATTTTGAGAAAGCTTTTAATATAAACCGAACCCAACAAAATAAGCCCTAGTTAAGGTGGTCAGCTAGAATGAGAAACTTGATGCCGAATGACAATCCGGAGTACAGACGTCACAAATTCGGACTGGGGCTTGGGGTCCGTAGCGACAGCACCAGCAACGCGGCTCTAAATCCTCTGGCTAAAAGATCCCTCTGCCTACATGGCAAAAACGGTATAATAAAGACAGTATTTGACAGTTTGTCAGTTCAAGGTTAGGTGAGCTATGACGATGTTCCAAAATCAAATGACAAAGCTGTATTTAAATAAATATATACATATTTTTAATGAATAAATGTCGGTTTTTATAACTGAAAAGAAAAAGAGATCCCCTAAAAATAAGCCTAGTCCTTGTTTTTAAGCACACAAAAATAATATAAGACCTGGTCTTATTTTCGAGGAAGCACGGTATATATTGGAACCATACACTAACGCAGAGCTGCTTCTGTTCAAGCTTCCTATAGAGCTTTTGTGACCGGCCTGACGGTAATGATGAGCGATGTTCTGTGTTTTTGTATGTAATTGTATCATTGTCCGTTGGTGTCGTATGCTGATGAAGGCTTTTTAGCCACAACATTCATATTTTCGTTCGTTATTGTGGTATTGTGAAGCTGACTAGTTTTTCTTATCGTTAGGGTTGATATTTATTCAGGTTTTTTCCCGAGATTTGTAGTTTTGCTTATTTAACGACACCGCTTCTGTGTAAAATTGTGTACCTGTAACGTGAGAGACATAAATGTAGTGCTTTAGTAGATATCTGTTTTTTCTTCTTCAAGAATTCGTCCAGTTTTCTCTGACACTGATCAATATCACCCAAACTTCAATTAAAACCCGCACTGCCCTCCGTTGTTTCGAATTACAAATTAATTACATGTCAAACTTGAGAAATAACGTGCATTTAAAAACATTAACATCTGTCCTATCTTGTTCTGCTTTAACTTTCTCTCTGCATTTACCTGTTTGTGTATCTACAACCTCCCGAGTCAATCGATAATTGAATCACGGTTATTAAGCCTGCAAGAAACACACCATCAGTGGTCAATGATGAGCGTTGTAGGATGTCAACAAGATCGACTAAACAAAACCTAAACTACTCGTCTGCTGACATCTCTTGAAATAAGGTATCTCTTGACAGAAACATAAAAGTCTATAATCTGTAGTAGCACATGAGTAACACAGTCACGCGGTCGTGCATTTATATTGTCTAGTTACTGCTGACACAGTTGTACATAAACCAACAATTAGTTTCTTCTTTTGTTGTTCTATCACTGATTCCAGGCTGTAGCCTAGTGTCGTGGTTTTGTCGTCTCACTGATACCAGGTTGTAGCCCAGTGTCGTGGTTTTGTCTTTTAACTTAGCAGGTTGTAGCCCAATGTCATGGTTTTGTCGTCTTACTGATACCAGGTTGTAGCCCAGTGTCGTGGTTTTGTCGTCTCACTGATACCAGGCTGTAGACCAGTATCGTGGTTTTGTCGTTTCACTGATACCAGGCTGTAGACCAGTATCGTGGTTTTGTCGTCTCACTGATACCAGGCTGTAGACCAGTATCGTTGTTTTGTCGTCTCACTGATACCAGGCTGTAGCCAAGTGTCGTGGTTTTGTCGTCTCACTGATACCAGGCTGTAGACCAGTATCGTTGTTTTGTCGTCTCACTGATACCAGGCTGTAGCCAAGTGTCGTGGTTTTGTCGTCTCACTGATACCAGGCTGTAGCCCAGTGTCGTAGTTTTGTCGTTTCACTGATACCAGGCTGTAGACCAGTGTCGTGGTTTTGTCGTCTCACTTACCAGGTTGTAGCCCAGTGTCGTGGTTTTGTCGTCTAACTTACAAGGTTGTAGCCCAGTGTTGTGGTTTTGTCGTCTTACTAATACCAGGATGTAGCCCAGTGTCGTGGTTTTGTCGTCTCACTGATACCAGGTTGCAGCCCAATGTCGTGGTTTTGTCGTCTCACGGATGCCAGGTTGCAGCCCAGTGTCGTGGTTTTGTCATCTCACTGATACCATAGTGTAGCCCAGTGTCGTGGTTTTGTCGTTTCACTGATACCAGGCTGTAGCCCAGTGTCGTGGTTTTGTCGTCTAAATTACCAGGTTGTAGCCCAGTGTCGTGGTTTTGTCGTCTTACTAATACCAGGTTGTAGCCCAGTGTTGTGGTTTTGTCGTCTTACTAATACCAGGATGTAGCCCAGTGTCGTGGTTTTGTCGTCTTTCTGATACCAGGTTGTAGCCCAATGTCGTGGTTTTGTCGTCTCACGGATGCAAGGTTGCAGCCCAGTGTCGTGGTTTTGTCGTCTCACGGATGCCAGGTTGCAGCCCAGTGTCGAGGTTTTGTCGTCTCACGGATGCCAGGTTGCAGCCCATTGTCGTGGTTTTGTCATCTCACTGATACCAGAGTGTAGCCCAGTGTCGTGGTTTTGTCGTCTAAATTACCAGGTTTTAGCCCAGTGTTGTGGTTTTGTCGTCTTACTAATACCAGGTTGTAGCCCAGTGTCGTGGTTTTGTCGTCTTTCTAATACCAGGTTGTAGCCCAGTGTCATGGTTTTGTCGTTTCACTTACCAGGCTGTAGCCCAGTGTCGTGGTTTTGTCGTTTCACTTAACAGGTTGTAGCCCAGTGTCGTGGTTTTGTCGTCTTACTAATACCAGGTTGTAGCTCAGTGTCGTGGTTTTGTCGTCTTACTAATAGCAGGTTGTAGCCAAGTGTCGTGGTTTTGTCGTCTTTCTAATACCAGGTTGTAGCTTAGTGTCGTGGTTTTGTCGTTTCACTTAACAGGTTGTAGCCCAGTGTCGTGGTTTTGTCGTTTCACTTAAGAGGTTGTAGCCCAGTTTCGTGGTTTTCTGTATTTGTCTTGCGCTTCTGGGGTGGCTCGGGCTAGGGATTTGTTTTTTGCAGGTTTCATTGACACCATTTATCCATCTCTTTCTTGGACTTTCCCTCGCCTTCCTCCCAGATGTTCTGCTTTAAAAAGTCTCACATGCAGTTTGGTCTGGCTGCATTCTCACCAAATGGCCGAACCATTTCATTGTCAATATAATTCAGACATGGTCTTATTCCAACTTTTTCTTTAATGCTGCCATTTGTAACTCTTTCCCTTCTTGTGTTTAGTTAGTGGATAAAGCGCATTTCATATGCAGTTATTTTTCTGCTCTAGTGCCTTATTCGTTGCCCATGTTTAGCACTAATTGTCACATATCGCTCCTGTCACGTGCCTGATTTAAGGATTTCTCCTTAAGGACCAACAGCACTCTGAAATAATCATGTTGAGTGGTTGGCTCGTATTGGTCTAAGGGATATCCTGTGGCCAAAATACGCTCAACTTATTTCAGGAGTAGGACAACTCAAGCTTTGGCACTACAAAATGTGTAATATTCCTAGGCACACTTGGCTGGACACCCCCACTACTATAAAAAGGTAGCCCCCAGGTTATGATAATATACTATCATAACCATGTTAACACAGATGAAGATTATTACTTGAACATACATGTAATTTAGACAGCTAAGAACAATGAATGAGTGACACTCCAGTCAATAGTGAAACTTTAGAAATACTGTAATAAGTGTAACACATACATTATATAAGCATCAGCAAAGAAATTCAAGAACCCAGAGTGATATGAAGGACCAAAACTCCAAACTCGATCTGACTGAACGTGTATGAATGTTCCAAAGTCTGCCTAGATCATCCTTATGATGAGTGTGGACATTTAATAGTGAAGCCTGGCAATAAACCCATGATTGTCCACACTTACCTGAATCCCTGGTTTCTTGAACTGGCTGGATGTTCAGTCACTCTGTTGTTACGTTCAAGACAGTCCCACACTAGACAATCGAACACTGGAGATACACCCAAGCTTCTGGAGAGGATCTCAGGTACCAAGTCAAACACTTGAGGCACAAACAAACTGCCGGATAACTGATGGTGAAGGTACAACGCCCATAATGTTGTCTGTAGACCAACTGGAGGATTTCATTAGTTGATGACCACAATTAGGTTCACAATCTGATTCCCACCACTGGCTTAGACATAGGTGACTTCCTTGTAGGTGGTTTAGTGGACTGCTAATTCACTGCCTGGCCTCCAAGGAGATATCATCCTGTATCAAGAAGGAACTCAGAATTAGCAGTCATCTCAGGGGTTACATGTCAAGCTCAGTTTATTAACATCCACATTAGTAATCATTCAGAGGACAGCTCTGGTGATAATGAGACAGTATAAGTCTCTACGTATCATCTATATTGTTCAGTCAGTAATAGTGACAGGAGATGAGTGCCAGAGTGGAGACAGATAGACTATCAAACAGAGAACATCAACCCTCCTCGCCCATACGCACTTGTAGA